AAGCCTTTAAGGTTGGTTAGCCCATAAAGATCCAAGTCTGTTAATTTTGGAATTTTAAATTTTGTGACGGATTCCAACAAAGGTAACGGAGTGGCTTTTTGAGCTTGTGATTGCCGATACCAAGTTCTTGAGACTCAAATATCTCTTCAAGTGAATCACAATTCCATATTTGAAGCTTGTCTAGTCTCTGAAACTTTTCCAACATACTAAATGAGAAAATATTCAAATACCTTTTCACATGAAACCACACTCACAAAAGTTAGTTGGCAAAAAGAATCTGTTTCAAGTTGGTTGTCCATATCCTTGTTCAAACTCTTCATGTATTTAATTATCAAACACTTTAATTTTCACCCTCTCTATCATTTCTCATCCTCCCTATCATTACTCATTCCTTACCCATCTCAAACTAGGCAAGTTTATCAATTTAAAAATAAATAAAGACAATTTATAAAAGTTGAGATCAAATTTTAAGAATGCTTGATCTTTCAAGTATCTTATAAATATATCTATTAAACTTTAAATTTTACAAAATGATAATATATTTTGAATGTTGTCATATGTTTTACTCATTAGTTTTGGATGCATACTGTAAACAAACAAACGGTTATAAATATTCAATTAAGGTTTAAAAAAATGCTAATAAATCTTGCATGGGCCTAGAATCACGCTTAAGGCATAGATGTTTAGCAAACGCCAACTAATTTTATTATTGTTCATTACTTCTCACAAAAATAAATAATAAAAATAAAAATAAAAAACCATTTTTCTTTAATCATGCTTAAGGCCTTGGAGGTATAGTACCTTTACTCAATATTTTTATCCTGCAAAACAAAACTCTACTTAAGAAAAAAAAAAAAAGAATAGAACAAAACAGAATTACGTGAACTCTACTTATAAAACACATGTTTAATGGCAAGTCACATATGCTTTTTTCTTAATTTGTTTAGTAATTTAAGTTACCTTCTTAGGCTAATAATCCATGAAATTTTGGAAATTGTCTTTTACAACTAGTATTTGATAATTAACAGAATTCATAAAGACGAAAAAGGCAAGGTTGAATACGAAACGAGTAACAAGAGAAGCAAATACATTGTGCACGTAATAATGACAAGGTTAAATCCCCGATTCAGTCCCTGAACTTTCATTTTTGAACTAAAAATACCCTTGAACTAAAAAAAGTACTAAAAAAATCCTTAAACTTCAATTTCCGGGACTAATTTCGTCCTTCCGTCGACGGAAGTATCAAATGCCACGTTAAGTTGCCACAAAATCAATTTTTATTTTAAATTTTTAGTGATGTGGAAAACAAAACATGCAAAAAGTGATGAGGTGGCCATTTTTTCTTTCCATCTGGCATTTTAAGTGAAATTTAATACCTACCCTAATACTCACCGTTTCACTTCTCCTAATGTACATCTAACACCAAAAACCCTAAATCTAATCTCCAGGCTGTCGCACCCTTTGCCCTCCAATCGTCGTTCTCAACCTTTCTTCTCTTTTTCTTCCATCATCCTCTAATCAACGATCTTCTTATCAATCACTTCCCAGATTGCGTCCGCATCCTTGTCATCCTCATCATATTCTGAAGACACAAAAAGCCCCAGATCGTTACCCTTAAAATCGTCAAACTCATCCTCTTCCTTGTCTTCTCCAAGCTTTCCACTGCCACGGTCGGAGACAGCCCCAGCAAATCGTCCAAAAGGTCAGATGTGAATAATCGGGTAGGCCCAATATCGGATTGCGTTGTGAATCCAGTGGCACCACGGCTAAGCCCAGCAACATAATTGGAAGGAGGCGAATTGGGGTTTAGGAGAGCTAGTGAGGCATTGTGATTTGGGGATGATGTTGAATGGATTACAGGAGAGAGAGGGTGGCGAATTGGGGATCGACTTTCAGGGATATGGTTTTCGAGTTGGGAGTCGAGATAACCGTTCTCACCCATCTCTTATCTTCATCGCCTTCATCACCGATCATTGTTCTCACTCATCTCTGATCTTCATCAACGATTATCATGCTCCCCTATCTCTAATCTTCATCGCCGAACGACCCTTTCCCGATACTACTTGAAGGTGAGGATGATGATGGGCAAGATGACGATGGTCGAACCTTGGCTAGGTCGTGGTGAGAACCTGGACATACCCAGATGGGTTCTCATCGAGAGAACCAGATCTGGGTTTTCTTCTTGAACCCAAGCTATAGGTTCTCAATGGGAGAACCTTATGTTTTTTT